AGGTGAGAGAGGCAGGGGGAGAGTGGGGGAGGGGGAGGGAGGGAGGGAGAGGGAGAGGGAGAGGGAGAGGGAGGGAGGGAGGGGAAGGGAGGGGAAGGGAGGGAAAGTGAGTGAAGGAGAGAGAAAGGGAGAGAGAAAGGGAGGAAGAGGGAGGGAGAGAATTGAGGCAGCGAGAAACGAAGGACGAAGTCAGCGAGAACATGTAGATTGAGATGTGGAAGTCAGGTTTCCATCGCACGATAGATATGTGCAAACGTGTGAAGTAGGGCAGCAGTACCTTGCTACTTGTTTGGTGATTACAAGTCTTGGGTGATTCAAATTCTCGAATCTGTGCCAGCAAAATCAAATCCTTAGGAACTGTGGAGAGAACTTGGCATGGCGCCTGATATGTTTGCAGAATAGTTCGCTTCAGCATTTCTCTTTGGCTCGTTGCATTGATTGGCATGTCGGCTGCTGGCTCGTCTGACGAAGAACTCAAGAGTGGAGTGTACAAAGGATGGTTCCTCGAGATCAACGACCAGTGGTGGGAGCAAGCGGACCTGTGCTCTCTTGTGGATCTGACGCCGTTGGGGCAGGCCGGGACAAGCCATGGCGATCAAAGTGAAGTCGGACTTGTTCCATGGAAAGTCCGAGTACCAGGACGTCTCAGTCTATGAGACGGAGACGTATGGCAAAATGATGACGCTGGATGGGGTGATCCAGAGCACTCAGCGAGATGAGTTCTCGTACCACGAGATGATCGCCCACCTCCCCCTCTTCTCCCACCCCAACCCCGAGCATGTCTGCGTGATCGGAGGAGGAGACGGTGGGGTCCTCCGGGAAATCATGCGACACGACTGCGTCAAGTCAGGTCCTTTGCCTCCTCCTTGACCACCGAGGGCTGAGGCTCTTGGCAGCTGTGCTCTGCGACATCGACGGAGTTGTCATCGAGCAGTCCAAGGTTCATCTGAAGCATCTCTCCTGCGGCTTCGACGACCCTCGCTCGGAGGTCCGGGTCGGGGACGGGCTGGCGTTCCTCAAGGAGAAGGTGTCAGCCTTCGACGTCATCATCGTCGACTCCTCCGACCCCGATGGTTGTCCTCGTCCTCGTCCTCCTCCTCCTCCTCCTCGTCGTCGTCGTCGTCCTCCTCCTCCTCCTCCTCCTCCTCCTCCTCCTCCTCCTCCCTTTCTCCCTCGTCCCTCGTCCTCCTCGTCCTCGTCCTCCTCCTCGTCCTCGTCCTCGTCCTCGTCCTCGTCCTCCTCGTCCTCCTCGTCCTCCTCGTCCTCCTCGTCCTCCTCGTCCTCCTCCTCGTCCTCGTCCTCGTCCTCCTCCTCCCTCGCATCACCTGACGTTGAGTGGGCAGGGCCCGCAGGGTCTCTCTTTGGCGAGGAGTTCTACAAGGTGGTGCACAAGGCTCTCAAGCCGGGCGGAGTCACCTGCTCCCAGGTAGCAGGAGCAGGAGGAAGAGGGCGAGGGACGGCGCGGAGAAAGGGAGGGAGGGAGTGACGGAGTGAATGAGTGAGTGAGTGAATGAGGGAGGGAAGGAGGAGGGAGGGAGGGAGGGAGGAGCCAGGGAAGGAGGAGGGGCGGCAGCAGATGGAAAGGTGGTGGGGGAAATGGGGCAAGGGGAGGCAAAGGAACAGGCAACGTAGCAGAAAGGAGGAGGCGAGAAAACTTTCGAGTTTGACTTTGTCGTAGGGTGAATGCATGTGGTTGCATCTAGACCTCATCAAGAGCATGATGCAATGTTGTAGGTAAGTCAAATACTGCTCGTCCTGCTCCTGCTCCTGCTCCTGCTCCTGCTCCTGCTCCTGCTCCTGCTCCTGCTCCTGCTCCTGCTCCTGCTCCTGCTGCTCCTGCTCCTGCTCCTGCTCCTGCTCCTCACCCTTCAGTCGTTCATACTCGTTGTGAGCTAATCATTCTCTCAGAGGCATCTTTTCTAACGTCCAGTACGCCTACACAACCATACCAACATACCCATCAGGTAAGGATCCACGTTGCCAGCGCTTCTCCCGCATGTTCCCCTCCTGCTCCTCTTCCGTGTCCTGGTCCTCCTCACTGTTCTGTCCGGCAGGTCAGATCGGGTTTCTCTTGTGCGCTAAGGATGCGGGAACAACCTTCAACGAACCTGTTCGTGCACCCAGTGACTTGATGATGGAGGCGCTACAGTGAGTCCAGCTCCGCTTCACCCCCCCCCCCTCCCTCCCACCCCGCTTTCTTCCCCTCCTGCTCCTGCTCCTCCTCCTGCTCCTCCTCCTCCTCGGACCTCTCCACCACCACCACCACCTCCTCCTCCACCACCTCCTCGGACCTCTCCACCACCACCACCTCCACTTCCTCCTCTTTCGTTTCCTCCCCTCCTTTTTAGCTCTTCTCCTGCGCTGAAGCTCCTGCAGGTACTACTCCTCCGACATCCACAGGGCAGCCTTCGTCCTTCCTAACTTTGCGCGGAGAAAGCTCGATGTGAATCTGCCACCTCTGACCTTCAAGTAAGCTGCAGGTTGTATATAAAGATCTCTTAAGAGAAGACTACAAGGTATCGATGACAGGTTAAGACGAAGGAGATCTGGAACGGAGAGGTAGGAAGGCCGCGGAGGTGGGAGAGAGGAGGGAAGTGAGAGGAGAGGGAGCGAAGGAGGGAGATATGAAGTGGAAGGGAGCAGGGAGGGTGGGAGAGAGCGAGGGGAAGGAAGCAGGGAGGGAGAGGTGAACGTCTCATGTTACTCGTCGGCTGCTTGCGTTGCGTCCTGCATGCCGCCCATGGCGCAGACGTTCGGGTCTACATGAGAGACCAGAGCTCCTCTTACCATCACGAACACGTCCTCCGACTCCAGGCGAGCTCCTCCTGCTCCTGCTCCTGCTCCTGCTCCTGCTCCTGCTCCTGTTTCCATGGCCAGTTTTAACCTCGTGCATCCGTCCGGCAGGGCGAGCCAAAAGCTTCCCTCAACGACGCTTCCTCTTCGCTCTTGGAAGTCTCGCTCCACTTGTACTTCGCTGTCGTTGGCGCGGAGGTACAAAGTAGAAGAGCAGGACGAGCAGTTCGCGTCCTCCGTGAAGAGGTTGAGGAAGATCCCTAGGAAGTTGACCAGGACGTCTGTCGAGCCGGTGGACTTCGATTCCGATGTTTCCCCCCCTCCTTTGTGTCTGCAATCTAACAAGAGGGAGGAGAAGAGGGGAGGGGAGGTGGTGGGAGGGGAGGAGGGCAAAGGATGAGGAGCGGAAGCGGGGGGAGGAGAGGACAAGCTGGGAGAGGAGGAGGAGGAGGAGGAGGAGGGGGAGGAGGGAGGAGGAGCAAGGAATTTCTCTCCCCTCAAGATCTTGACAATCTTGATTGTCTCCACAACGAAGGGACGGGTGGCCTGTGCTGCGCGGTGGGCGACGCCAGGGACAGGAAGGAGGTAGTGTTTCAACCCAAGGCCAGCAGCGAACGAGTGGACCGAGTACGGCCCATCCTCGGTCTTCTTCCCCGGGAGGATCTCAACAAATACAGTCCCCCTCCTCGCAAACAGAATGTTGAAGTCCTGCCCTCCGTGCGCTGCCACGATGATCTCGGCGGACTGGATGGAGAGGGCCAGGAACAGGAGGGGGAGTTGGAGGGAGTGGAGGATCGAGGAGGTGTCAGAGAAGCTGGTGTTGGTGTAGGCGACGGCGTCAGTGAACGAGATTCTTTGGCTGAGGATACGGTAGAAGAGGGAAAGGTCCCTTGAGACCTCAAGCTCGTTCAGGAGGCAGCGATCTGGGACTGGAGGCTGTGTGCAGGTCGTGGCATTCCCTCGAGAGAGGATGAAGAAAGGAAGGGAGAGCGGTTGACGGAGAGCGTCGAACGGAAGCGGATGCTCAGAAGAATGGTTGCTCCACCACAGCCAGTACCTGCTCCACTCCGTTGACGTCGCTGATCGGCTCCTTGCCATGGTTCCATGCAGCGATCCAACAAAGACTGAGACTTTCTTCTGCAGCAGGCGCAGCATCGGCATGGTCGGCTGATGATCGTGGGCATGGCTCGGCATGTTGGTTGCAACGTACAGCTGTTTGCTCCAGATGTAACTCCTGCACTTGCTCACACTCAGATGGAACAAGTCGAGATAAAGGCCCGACATGCAAGATGTGTCCACGAACAGGATGCGACCGAGGTCATCGTAGCCAACGAGGCTGGAAAGTACTGCAAGGGCATTCCGGGACAATGACCGCTCCACAACGACGAAGTAGTCCAACCCTTGTAGCACCTCCATGGCGAACAGGAGGCGGGAGGAGGTGTCTTGGATAAAGTGCTGCCAGGATGCCCCCCACCGAGTCGGGATGTAGACGGCTCTGTCGACATACAAGGCCCTGCTCCCTTGAGGAGAGACCGAGCAACCGGGATGCGTCTTGGGTGCGATCTTCCCCTCACTCAGGTAGAAGGAGTCGACCATGTGCGTTTCGTTGCAGATTGCTCCTCCCGCAGCAAGATACATGTCGCTGAACGCCAGCAGCTGCATCCCTAGCACGGGCGACGACACGTAGGACGAGGTCGGCAGACGAGGGGAGAGCAGATGAGCGAGATGTACTTCGTTGAGCAACTTGACGTCTTCATGCAGGCAGAGAGCTGGCGGAATAGTGATATCCTCCTCTGCAAAAACTCTCCTTGCTATGACCCTGACCAAGTTGCCCTTGCGACCGTCATGCTGCAGCACGTCATCAAGAGGTACATAATGGTTTAGCAGGTCGTACTCAGAGGTCGGTTGAAGCAGCGGTTTCAACATCTCCTTCATGAAATCGGAATGTATCATAAAGTCCTCGCGTTCGCTGTCTCCTCGTCCTCGTCCTCCCTTTTCTCCTCCTTCCCCTCCACTTCCTACTCGAACCGATTTGATTCTACTGGCACGCAATTCCCCACAATCGCGCAAGTTTCTGCAAAAGTCACTCTCCCCCATCGATTTGTCAAAACATTCATCATCTTCTTGAATGCCTCCATGTTGAGAATGGAAGATTTGATCAAACAAGAATCTCAACCTCGCCTTGCGCGTGTGGTACATCAAAACATGCTCCTGTCCATTCACTCGAATCTGCTCTCTCTCCTCCTCAGACTTGAGATAGTGATCCACCATGATATTCAGATGCCTCAAGTCCTCCCCATCAAAGAATATCAGCTGAGTTCCGTTGTCGAAATGCTCCTCCATCCCTTGAACGAAGTTGTGCACCACAAACGCCCCGCACCTCATCGCCTCGTATACCTCCTCTCCCCAGTACCCCGATGACGGACATCGTTGCGCCTCGTCGATGCCCAGACAACCTCCGACGACGATCAGAATCCTGGTTTTCTTCATCAGCTCGCATCTCAGTTCAGCACTCAGTGGGAAAATCTCCAGGTGGAACCTGCTTCCGAACTCCCGAGCAAGCGACTTTTCCACCCTCCTCCTCAGACCCCATCCGTGTCCTCGATGAATTTGATCATCGTTGGACAGCACATGCTCAGGACGAGTGTGGGGCCCATACATCAGCACATCGTGAAGGAACACAGCTCCCTGTCTCCTCTCCCTCTCTATCTTGCCATCCTGATCGAAGTAAGGAGTATCTGCAGACCAAGATGCGCCGAGCCATACATGTTTTGACCTGCTTCTCCACCTTCTCAGGTATTTCTCCACCCACCCGCTCCCGTCCATGGACGCCACATAATCGGCTTCAAACAAGTCTCTGAACCCTTGCATCCTGACCCCGTGCCGGAGATCGAGCAGGTAGACGACTGTCACGATGAACATGGACCGGCACGTCTCGAACAGGCTACTCAGGTTGCCCGCATACTGGTGATAGACGGAAGGGAGGAGGAGGACTATGTCAGGAAGATGGAGGGCGAGGGAGTCGTGAAGGTGAGCTGTGAGCAGGGAATCGATCTGGACAGGATGCACGAAGATCCCCATCTCTGACATGTCCGAGATCAAGCTATCCGCATCTTCCTCACGAGACTCTCTTGAACGACGGAGATCACCAATCACCATGGCGGATGCGGGGAGATCGATCGTAGTCTCCCCCTCCAACGTGTTGTACTGCATGCTGAAGTGTACGCTGCCCCGCTCTTGTGGCGTGTTGTGGTTCGGATGAAACCCCTCGATCGTGATGGTGTGGTTGGCCAAAGGCTGCAGGCTCAAAGGAGGCAGCTTGTAGATGGCCAGCGAAACTCTCGACCCTTGTTCGGAGTCAGAGCCGAGCTCATGGTAGAAAGATCCATCGAGGAAGATCTTGACCCTGTCGATCTTGAACGTCACATACTCGAGCAGGACAGGGATCGTGCGAAAGATCTGTCCTGCCTTGGGGGATCCGATCAAGATTTCACTTGTCACCAGTTGCAGCAACAAGCATATGAGAAGAACCTCCAACGCGTTCCTCAAGACAGCTGCCATGGATCAGAAGGACAAGGATGCAAGACAGCTCAGAGGCAGAAGACGAGGTTCTGTGAGTTGACTTCTGTTTCCATGCTTGTGCCTCTGTTAAAACACATCTCCATGATATGATGTCTTAACCTCCGCATTCTCCAAGAACTCTCCTCCTCCTCCTCATTCCTCTAATCCACCTCCTCCTCCTCGTCCTCCGTTGTCGTCATCATGCACATCTCTGAACTGCTCTCCCTCCCTTGCCCTCCTCTCCTCTCCTCCTCTCCTCCTCTCCTCTCCTCTCCTGTCTTCACTGTCGCTTCGTGGTAGCGCATTCTACATGATGCGGCTAATTAGAATCGAAGGCAGCAAAGCATATCTAATGCGTGAATTAGTAGAAAGTTTGGACGGTTCCATGGCAGAAGAGGCGGGAAGAAAAAGTCAATGCAATGCTGGAATGGGGGCGGATTTACGGTGGAAGGGGAGGGAGGGAGGGAGGCAGGCAGGCAGGCAGGCAGGCAAGAGGAAGAGGAAGAGGAAGAGGAAGAGGAAGAGGAAGAGGAAGAGGAAGAGGAAGAGGGAAAACAGGGAATCCGTTCAATGCCGTGAGAACAATAAGGAGGAATCTCGACCATTTACTGTTGTCAAAGCTCTGACAAACTCTCATGTCATTCAGAAATTTCAACATCAACAGAAACATCGTCAAGTGGTTGTGCAACTGAGATCGATCTACACACCTGCTGCTCATGGAGAGACTCGCTCGTGTGGCGCATGGCGGACCTGAGGTCGTCCTAGGGGACAGAAGGTCATACGACCTCTCCCGCTCGGTCTGACAGCCCTGATGAGGAGGCGATCGTTCACTCCCTGCTGCAGGAGCTCACCCTGCTCGTTTGCATCTCCGTCATAGGAGGCAGCATAGCGATCGTGCTGGTGGCGTACTGGTGAGCCTTTCCTATGGTAGTCGGCGCTGACAGTAGAAATGCCTGGAAGCGCATGGATGTGGTGGCAGGATATCTACGTTCCCCCCCAAGGAGCTGCTCCTGCCTCTGGCTCAGCAAGAACGTCTGAGTGCGAGGCTGAAACAGAATCCGACCCAGAGCCCGAGCCCAGAGCCGTCGCGCAAGGGGCACGCGAGACCGTCGAGGCGACCCGAGTTGAGGTGAGGGAGGAGGAGGAAGCGAAAAGCTTGAAGACGAGCCTCGAGAGCTTCTTCAAGCTCTACAACCCTGCGAAACTGAAGAACGTCGACAAGCTCGTGGTAACGTGACCATGACATTTCAAGGTGGAGGCGCTTATGTTGAACCCCAGGAGGAATTCGGGAGCAGGCCGTGGGAGCTCAACGAGTTGCTGGTGAATCGCTATGGACATTCACTGCCAGACCTCGCGATCTTGAAAGCGCAGGCAGAGCAGAAGCAGCAGGCAGAGAGGAGCAAGGAAGTAGTCTCAACCGTCCAAGAGAGCGTGAACGAGACCAGTCAAGTAGACATCTATCATTCCATCCAGATGGACTCCCCCTACCCAGAGATCAGCTACGACTCTGAAGCTCTGAACATGCATAAACCTCGGGTCAAAGGCGTCGATCCTTTCCTCGACGAATGCTCTCGCATCTCAAGCAAAGCAGGAAAGACTTCCAAGGCAAACGAGTCTGACTCCCCCTTCGCTTTTCGGAATCTACACAACAAGATGCAGCAGGAGATGAAGAGGACTTGGAATGGAGGCGGCGCGCGTGGTTGGGGGTCGGGGGTTCAGTTTTCTGTTCGAAACGGGAGGAAAGAGAGCCAGGAGAGGCAGAAGGAGAAAGACAGCGAGGAGGGTCAGTCGTCAGGCGTCGATTTTGAAACAGCGAGCAAGGAGGACTTTGCTACATCAAGAAGATTGTCTGCGCAAGAGGTCTCAGAGTTGATAGCCACGGAAGATCCAACCACCCTCGACACGGCAGAAGACTTCTTGTCAGGGAACGACGACCAGGACGTGAGTGAAGCATTGAGGGCCCAGCCAGCTGAGCTCCAGGTGGAGGGAAAGTTCGGGAGTGTGCTTGAACCTTCAGCTGCGTTGCTGGAGGAGGATGGCAGACGAGAGGGAGACGAGGACTTGGCGGGCGCCAAGGAGCAGGAGCCCAGCAAGGGGCAGCAGGAGCTCTATCAGACACGCTCCGCCCTCCCAGGAGCGGGGACAAGGTCGATCGAGTTGAAGGAGGGAAGGAGGGTGACGAAGGAAGAGATTTATCAGGATTTCATTCAGAGCTCCAGGCACCTGGATGAAACGGACCTCACCTTCCCCTCCCCCTCCCAGTCTCCCAGCACGAGGAGCAGCCGCACCCAAGAGCAGCAGCAGACGGCGGAGACACCTCCTACCCCGTCAGAGCTCTCCTTCATCTCTTTGAAGGAGGAGCCAGGAGAGGCGAAGAGAGAAGAGTCGCTGAATGATGACGTGGCGAGGCGGATCAGGGATCAGATCTCTTCCAAGGCCCTTGAGAGCGAAGAAGGCGCCAGCGACGGTAATGAGGTCTACTTCTCCTTCTATGAGGGGAAAGAAGAGGGAGATAACGATGGCGATGCAAAAGATAAGTAGAAGGCAGCGGCCCTGCCTCGCATTGTACGGCTGTACCGCACTGAGGCCTTCAAGCGTCTGACTCGGAGAGTTCAGTGGGGGAAATTTTCCCAACAACGTGAAGATCATTAAAATCAATCAAACTTTGACAGGAGTTGGGCTAACAACGTCAAGATCATTAAAATCAATCAAACTTTGACAGGAGTTGGGCTAACAACGTCAAGATCATTAAAATCAATCAAACTTTGACAGGAGCTGGGCTCTAACAACGTCAAGATCATTAAAATCAATCAAACTTTGACAGGAGCTGGGCTCTAACAACGTCAAGATCATTAAAATCAATCACACTTTGACACTGAGGAGCTGGGCTAGCCCCTACTAGAAGTAAGTGAGAGAAACTTATAGTACTTTGGGCTACATCCTTGGGCCAGTGGTTCGTGGGCGAATTGAGGCGAGCCTGACCGTCCTATACCCGAAGGAATTGAGTAAAGAATTCCTGTTCTACGGAATGGAGGGGGCAGCCGGGCAGGAGGGGAAGGAGGAGGGAGGGAGGGAGGGAGGAGGAGGGAGGGAGGATGACGATTGTGCGAGGGAAGAGGAGGCGATGAAGAATGAGGAGGGAGCAAGGGAGGGGAAAGAACAGGCTGAGGACGACTGTGTGATCGTCAGTCGAACTGCAGAGGACGCGTCAGGCGTCTGGAACAAAGTCCCCCAGGGAAGACAAGGGCAGCAGGTAGATTCGATTCTCTGCTCTCATGGTAACCGAATTTCTATCCTGACAGCATCAGCAGGGGGCAAGCCCGTCTGATGGGCCTCAGACGCCTTCGGGAATCTGGAGGTTCTTGCCAGGGGGGGCTCGCAATGCGTTTCCTGGCCTGTTGAGCGCATCTACTCACGGATCGAGCAAGCCGACAGGGCAGCAGGCGTCGACGGGCTTGAAGGATGCAGCTGCGCCGCTCAAGTTCCTTGGCAGAGACGAATGGATGTGCCTGATCCCACTGCGGGTGGTGGCCCAGGAGCAGAAGGAGGAGGACGGCAGTCGAAGGTTCTCAGTGGTCTCGGAGGGAGCATTCCAGCTCCACTTGTCTGGTGATGCCACCTGTTCCTTGAGGAAGGTTCTGCTCTGACAGGGCAGCAGGGAGGAAGGAGGGAACCGTAGAGGTGGGGGAGTGGAGTTGTCGCCTGTACGGGCCGTGGGGAGCAACCCTGTCGGAGAGATTGTTTCGCTTCTACAACAGGTAACAAGATGTTGGATACATGAAGCTCCTGCTCATTAGCTTCTCTCCTTCCTGACCAGGTTCTGCCCCGAGAAACTCGGCAACGTGGAAAAACTCTCGGTGGAGTTCGGGTTGGGGAACGAGGGAGTCCTGAACTCTATGCTGATGGAGGCGTACGGTCCGTGCCAGTGTCTTGTATCCTGTAGATTGAGCAGAACTTGCTACAGGAGCCGATCTTTCCTCGGTCACCGATGAGAACTTTTCCGGAGGATACTTCGTCGCTAGAGTTCGACGGATATTTCCCCTGACGTTCCTCCTCGAGGGTACGTGAAAGTTGCCAGGTTGCTGGTCGGACCTGATGGCATGCTGGCAGGAGTCCGAGACTCGGAGGACGAGGAGCGAGTCTGTTCCATCACGTTTCCAACTCCGATGAGCAAGAGGAGCAGATTCATTGAGAGCCTCGAGGAGCAGCTGCAGCGGATGTGTGACTATCGTGTTGAGGTCGATGGCCAGGAGGTGGAGGCTGCCCTGCAGACGGACGAGCTGGCAGTGGAGGGGAGGAGCGAGGAGTATCCTGGCCTGATTGTCAACTACGCGGAGTCCTCGGTGCCGGAGAAGACAGGGCCCCTGCGTGTGGTTGGCGTTGGCGTCTCGTGCCAGCTCCTCCTGATCTTTCCGAGCAGGACGAGGAGGGCAAGAGCTACTACGGAGTCCGCATAGAGGCTGGAGGGCACCAGCTAGCGAGTGGTTTGCGGACTGGGTCCACTTGGGTAGCTGGGCAGATGGTGAAAGGTTGGCAGGAGGAGGAGATGCTCGCTCTGTGCTCACTACCCGCAGGAACGGACGCGTTCAGCAAGTGGATCGGGCCAGCGGCGGAGGAGGCCAAAGTGTCCCCGGGGGTCCAGAAGGCTCTAACGTACGCGCAGCAAGGGACAGAGAAGCTCGTCGACATCTCCTGTGATATCATCGGGGGCCTTGCAAACATAGCAGGTATGAGATCAAGGGAATGGAGAGGGAGGGAGGGGGAGAAGGGAAGGGGCAGGACTTTTGATGGCTGAACTTCTTCCTCGTCTCCCTTGCCGCCCTTGTTGTTTACGATAGTTGAGTTCCTCTGTCCGGCTACTGAGCTCCTTTCCTCCCTTGCTCCCTCCCTGCCACCATCTCCTTCCTGTTTTGATTCCCATCCCTCCCCTCTCTCCTTCCATTTTGATTCCCTCCTCCCCGCATCCGCCCCCCCTTCTTCCAGGCTTCCCCCCTCTCTCTCCAGCCTCTTGTGACCTTCTGTTCTTCCCTCTCTCCTCTCCTCTTCCTCTCTACTTTCTCCGTTCTTTCCACAAGTTTCTGACAACACTCATCCCAGCAAAGGGAGTCTCGTGGGGTGCCGAGAAGGTCGTCCAGACTGAGACTTACAAGAAGTGGGAAAAGCAGCCGATGGGCCCCCGGGCCCGGGCAGCCAAGGATGTTGCCAAAAGCACAGTCAGCGCTGTCTTCTCAGTTGGCTACGGTCTGAAAGGTGAGGAGAGACTGTGAATGTCAGTTGGAGCCGTTGGTTCAATCACTCTGTCCTCCTCCTCCTCTTCCTCTCGTCTTTGTCCATCCCCCCTCCCCCTGCTTCCTGTTCTCATCCTTGTCCTAGTCCTTCTCGTTCTCTTCCTCCTTCTTCTCC